CTCTGTTATGGGCCGTCTGGGGCCCCAAGACGGCTCATGCGGGACTGCGAGAGCGAACTCCTCGCCGGGGAGTTGGATTCGAGGCTCTCAGAGACCGTTCCTTGCGCAATCTTGGTGGTATCTTGTGCCGTTCCTGGCATCTTGGGACCGGCTAGCAGGCCTCTTGGGCCGTTTTTGAGCTATCACAAGGGCCGCCACAGCTTCTTGGAGCGACGAGGGGGTCTCTTGGAGCCCAGGTTTGCTCCAAATCGCCAAAACCTTGTAAAAACACAAGGAAATGGAGGCTCCGGGCCCCCCATGCCCTGGCTTCTTGGAGCGACGAGGGGGTCTCTTGGAGCCCAGGTGTGCTCCAAGTCGCCAAAACCCTGTAAAAAACACAGGGAAAGTGACGCCCCGGGCCCCCCATGCGCTGGCGAGGTCCCTGGGCGGGCCCCCCCGGACCGGGCCCTCCGGTATGCGGTTGTCGGGTTGGGTGTATCACCGTAGAGCACCACGAATGCCTCCAGGAGCCCCAGGGAGGACACGTTCGTGGGGCCGCCTTGGCCGTCTTTGAGGCTTCCAGGGCTCTGTTATGGGCCGTCTGGGGCCCCAAGACGGCTCATGCGGGACTGCGAGAGCGAACTCCTCGCCGGGGAGTTGGATTCGAGGCTCTCAGAGACCGTTCCTTGCGCCATCTTGGTGGTATCTTGTGCCGTTCCTGGCATCTTGGGACCGGCTAGCAGGCCTCTTGGGCCGTTTTTGAGCTATCACAAGGGCCGCCGCAGCTTCTTGGAGCGACGAGGGGGTCTCTTGGAGCCCAGGTTTGCTCCAAATTGCCAAAACCCTGTAAAAAAACACAAGGAAATGGAGGCTCCGGGCCCCCCATGCCCTGGCTTCTTGGAGCGACGAGGGGGTCTCTTGGAGCCCAGGTGTGCTCCAAGTCGCCAAAACCCTGTAAAAACACAGGGAAAGTGACGCCCCGGGCCCCCCATGCGCTGGCGAGGTCCCTGGGCGGGCCCCCCCGGACCGGGCCCCCCGGTATGCGGTTGTCGGGTTGGGTGTATCACCGTAGAGCACCACGAATGCCTCCAGGAGCCCCAGGGAGGACACGTTCGTGGGGCCGCCTTGGCCGTCTTTGAGGCTTCCAGGGCTCTGTTATGGGCCGTCTGGGGCCCCAAGACGGCTCATGCGGGACTGCGAGAGCGAACTCCTCGCCGGGGAGTTGGATTCGAGGCTCTCAGAGACCGTTCCTTGCGCCATCTTGGTGGTATCTTGTGCCGTTCCTGGCATCTTGGGACCGGCTAGCAGGCCTCTTGGGCCGTTTTTGAGCTATCACAAGGGCCGCCACAGCTTCTTGGAGCGACGAGGGGGTCTCTTGGAGCCCAGGTTTGCTCCAAATCGCCAAAACCTTGTAAAAACACCAGGAAATGGAGGCTCCGGGCCCCCCATGCCCTGGCTTCTTGGAGCGACGAGGGGGTCTCTTGGAGCCCAGGTGTGCTCCAAGTCGCCAAAACCCTGTAAAAACACAGGGAAAGTGACGCCCCGGGCCCCCCATGCGCTGGCGAGGTCCCTGGGCGGGCCCCCCCGGACCGGGCCCCCCGGTATATATATATATATATATATATATATATATATATATATAATATATATAGTACATGCACATACATACATAAGACATAGAGGTTTACATGCGTAACTACATGCATACATACATGCATATATACATACATTCATACATACATACAGACATATACAAATATATATATATATATATATATATATATATATATGCGTATATAGACAGATGTATGTGTACATTCGCATGTCTCTCTCTCTCTCTCGATATCTCCCTCCCTCTCTCTCTCTCGCTCTCTCTCTCTCTCTTTCTCTCTCTCTCTCTCTCTCTCTGTATGTTTATCTCTCCCTCTCTCGCTCTCTCTCTCTCTCTCTCTCACTATCTTTCTATAGTTCTCTCTCTTTCTATGTATATGTGCGTACATGTGTATGTGCATAGGTGTGCTAGCCAGCGTGGACCCCAAACATTGCATGTTTCGGCCATCTATGATATGCTACACACGTAGAGCAGTATGTGTTGTGCAATGTGTAGGGCATGGTGTGCATTATGCTGCTACATGCTGCGCAATCTATGTGGTGCAATGGATGCGGTGCAATATACGTTGTGCAATAAATGTGGAGCTGCCTACGTGGTGCAATCTACGCAATGTAAATTCGCCGGCCCAAATGGGGAAGAGGCGTGCCAAGATCTCCGGTAACAGGTCAACAAATCTTTCTAATTCGTGCTCGCGCGGCGGCTCCACCCCTGGACCAAAATACCCTGGGCGATGCCTGGGCGATGCCCAGGCGATACCCGGGCGCCCCAGAAGCGCGCCAGGAAGGCGCCGGGGCGCCCCCTACACGGCCTACGAGACCCCGAGTCGCCAGGAACCGAAACGTCCAGTTTTCATCAGCCCCAAAAGGCACCCAGGAGGCCCCACGAGGCCCCCTAGAGGCCCCAAGGGGCCCCGAAGAGGCACCTCAAAAAGCCCCAAGAGGCCCCCAAGAGGGCCCAACACGGCCCCCAAGAGGCCTCAAAACTGCGTCCCAGAGCCCCCGGAGAGGCCAACCACGAGAGCCGAACCAACATCCATGAGGCCTCCGACCCACCACCCAGGCACGGTGGCGGGATGGGCCGAAAGCCAACAGATGATCAACAACCCCACCCAGCAGCACCGCATTGACAACGATCACCCGGGCAATTGGCAGCGCTCCAAGTGGCACTCGTCGAACGATCGGTCCGAGACACCCACGATGGCTTCCAGACGGCCCACGACACGTACAAGACCCCCGAAGAGGCCACCTGTGGAAGGGATGAATGTGCCTGAGAGACTTTCTGCGTGCCCACCCCCTGGGGGACAGAGCCCGCACCAGGAATCGGGATGCCCCCCAGAGACGCATGCGCCTCGAGGGCAGCGCACAGTGAGGTTAGAGGTAGAGAGATGCGGGCGTCGCCACCGGCATGGCCTGCAACATCTTCACACCACCAAGAGACCTCCCAGGAGAGCCCCAAGAGGCACACCCCGACAAACGACAGCGGCGAGGCAATGTGGACTGGCGGAATGAGCGAAGCGATTGAATACTTGTTGTTCGCGATGAATTGTCAACTCTACTGCGCGCGCAATCATCCCATCCACCCACCCGCAACTTGGTTTGCAAAACCCATGCGGCCCTCAAATTCCTGGCGCTCTAAGTTGCCCGAGGATTCTCGTTGGACGCCACCGCACGGGCAGAAGGGCCCAAGAGGCCTCGAAGACGGCCCCAGGAGGCCCCGAGGAGGGCGTCAAGAGCCCAAGACGGCCGAAGCTGACCCCAAGACACCTGCAAGATGGCCCAGGAGGGCCCTGAGACGCCCCTGAGAGTGCATGTAACATTGACCAAAAAAAGGTTGTGTTACATGTGTTTTACATGTCCCACGTTTTGCTCCCAAAGATCGATTCAAGACGGCCCCCCGAGCCCACGACATTGGCCAAGACGGGTCCAAAAAGGTCCAACGGTGCCACCCAAATCGCCCAGGCTGGCCCCATAAGGCCCCACGATGGCCTAAGACACCCTCAAGCTGGGCCCCAGAGGCCTCAAGATACCTCGAGGTTGAACCAAGACGCCCCGAAGATTGCCCCAGAGGCCCCAAGATGCCCCCGAGAAGTTTCACGAGGCCCCACAACTGGTCAGATTTAGCCACAAGATTGCTGAGCTAGGGCGCAGCCCTTCAGATACGAACTCCATAGGTTCAAACTGCATGGTATGTTACAGATCGAACACTGGGGCACCGCATGTGCATTCGCATATCACCAAGCCATTCGCAAGTGCATCATGGCGTTGTGAGCATGCACGCATGCGTGCATGCATGCATGCATACGCGCATCAAAAGTATGTACAGAGATAGGTGCAAATAAGAAGACAACACGGGCCAGGGTGTACTCACACTTCTGATGTCCGCAAATGAGTCAGACACGGATTGCAATTCGCCCCAGCTCGCTCCCAGTCGAGCTGTGAAGCAACGATGGTGATCTGCGAGCACACGTGTCCACGAGGCAGCTTGCCACAAGAACAGGTCAGAGCGTGTCCAGACCCCGCCTGACACGTGGATCGGCGGCGAGCCCTGGAGACCCTCCACCCCCTGGCCTCCCAGGGAAGCGCCCCTGGCGGCCTCGTGACGGCCCGACCCCGCCCTGTGACGGAGCCAAGGCAGCCTCCGCCTAGCTTCTGTGCGAGGCGGGGATTCATCCATATCCACCGCCTGGGAACCGACGCCCCGATGCCCCAGCGGGCGGTGGATATGGGCATATTTTGGCCCCCGGGGGCCCGAATATATCCACATCCACCGCCTGCCGAGGTCCCCGAAAATTAATCCTCCAGGCGGTGGTCCTGTATAAATTCCCGCCTCGGCTTCTAGACACCGCTGCGTGGGAACGGCCCCTGGTCAGTCGCACGGCTTGCGGGCGATAGCTCGGGCAATCTTGCAATTGTTCGGGGCGATCCGGGCACCCCCAGAACGCTGCCCTATGGTTGCTGCCCTGTGGCACCCCATAGCTGGTGGCCTGTGGTAGGTCCCATGTATGTGCTGGTGCCCTGTGATGCCATGTGGTTCCATATGGTCGGTGCCATGTGGTACCATATCGACAGTGCCCTACGACGCGCTGGCACAATTCGACTGCAGATGCAACGCACGGCTGCGCGTACATCGAGCAATCTACCGACCCGACCTTGCCAGGAGTAAGAAAAAGGGCATCCGTGGAGCTGTTGGAAATGTCAATGCCAAGCTTCAAGATCTTCAGCGGTGCGGACGTCTCAGGCGAAACGTCCAGACCGCCCTGACACGACCACCGAAAGGCAGAATCGATCACAACGTTGCGGTCTTCCTGCGATGTGGGCGTTCTCGCCTATCCTCCGTCAAACCGGTCTCCGAAGACATCAGAATGCCTGAAGGGTGGCCCACAAGCACTTCGAGAGAGCCCAACGGGCGCCATCGTAGGCGCTGGCGTAGGCGCTGGAGTCGGAGCTGGGGTGGGCACCGGCGTCGGAGCTGATGTCGGAGCTGGGCTGGGCGCTGGAGTTGGTGATGGGGTGGGCGCCGGCGTTGGCGCTGGCGTCGGAGCTGGGCTGGGAGCTGGAGTCGGAGCTGGGGTGGGCACCGGCGTAGGCGCTGGAGTCGGGGCTGAAGTGGGCGGCGGTATGCCCACTCCGCCCCCGCAGGTGCAGCAGGCCTCGGTGGCCGTGCTCCCAAAGTTGGCGTGCAGGAGCCCCTGGGAGGCGCAGAGGTTGGAGGTGCTGTAGTAACTGCAGTTGTAGTCCGTGCCCCTGCTGTCGTACCAGAACACTGCAGTGGTGTTAGGAACCTCGTCCACACATTCTGTGGTCTGCGTTAAGGTCGTAACAGTGGCGGTGATGGTTGTCAGCGAGACGGAAGTGACTGTCAGCGAAGCGGAAGTGACTGTCAGGGAGGTGGTCTCTGTGGTGGTAGTCTGCGACGCGGAAGTGTTCGTCTCGGAAGAGGTGCTCGTCTCTGTGCTGGTCGTCACCGTGGATGTTGTACTGGTGACGCTGGAAGACGTGTTGGTGTACGTTGCAAACGTTGTGGTGCTGTTCGTGATGGTCGGCGGCCAGCCCAGGGGGGAAGTGAGAGAGGGCAGGCCTTCTCAGAAGGCGCCTTCTGAGAAGTTGTCTGAGCTTGCTCCGAAGACAGAGACTGAAGCTGAGAAGGCAAGAGGCCTCCTGAGACGCCCCGCCGCCTTCTGAGAAGGCCTGGGCGGCCTGCCCCCTCTCACTTCCCGCCTGGGCTTGCCGCCGAGATGGTTATGTCGGTCACTGTGGAGGCCGTCTCGGAGGTCGCAGTCGACGTGGTGCTCGCCGTGGAGATGGAGCTCGCCGTGGAGCTCCCCGTGGAGGCCGACGTAGAGCTCGTCGTGGCCGTGGCCGTATCCGTGGACTCCTCAGTGGTCCGAAGAGCGAGGGGGCGGATGCAGGGAGGAAGGCCGCCTCCTCTTCCTCCTCATCGTGTAGAGGCCTCCCACATGGTGCCCCAGTAGATGGGATCGGAGGAACGTGACGCATCGTCGATACATCACCGATGCATGGGCGATGCACTGGAGATGCATCGTCGATGTGTCGGCGATGCATCGGCGACGTCGGCGCGGAGAAAAATCGGGCCCCACATCGAGCTGCATCTGCCGATGTCTCGGCAATGCGGCGCGATCGAGCAAACAGGGACATGAACACGCGCAAGGTTTCGGAAGGGGGGCTCCGGAGCCGATCGCATAAACCCGCGCGGACCTGCGAAAGTGTGCGGTCGGGAAGCTCCGGACAGCGTGTCACCGCGGCGGCCCCAGCGACACGCTGTGCCCTGCAAGCGGGCAGCGTGTCGCTCCGCTCCGCGGGGCGGGAGGCCGGGAGAGGCTCGGGACGTCGACGCTTGGCGACCGGGGCGTGGAGAGCGTGCCGCACCGAAGCCTGCTGGGCCAGAGCCGGCGGAGCGACACGCCAACCAGAGGTTCCTCCTCTGCATGCCACCGCTTGCTCCCCGATCCTCCTCTTCCTCCTCGGCATGCGGCGGCGCTTCCACCGGGGGCAGGGCGACGGGGGCCCGCCCCAGGGGGCAGAACGGCACCGATGCTGCCACTCCCTGGACCTCTCCGGGGGGGCGCGCCGACGAGAATCCCGAGGAGCAGCCGGCCGAGGCGGCAGGAGCTCGCCGCCACGAGCGAACGCATCGGCACGGGCACTGGCAGAACTGGGCCTCGCGGGGCCCGGTGCAGTAACGCGCGCTTGGGGGCGCCGCTCCGCCCCATGCCACTGACCGGAACTGCCGTCACCCGAAAACGCACGAGCGACGGCAGACCTGGTGCAGTGACGCCAGCATACTCCTTGGCCGTGGGGCCCTGACGCTGACCGGCTCCCCTTACCTGAAGCCCTGGCTATACCCGAACAGTGAGCACATACGGTAAGAAGTCTTGCGATAAGAAATCTAGGGGCACCTCCCTCGTCGACCCCGAGCTTCGCAAGGTGCCCCAAGCTCTACAGGCTCGAAGGTAGGCAAGAAATTGTCGTGGGGCCCGCGTTGGCAGGCCAGTCGCTGATTTGGTGTGCCTACAGTCGGGCTGCTGAAATAAGGAACACTCAAAAGGGAACGAAGCCCCTTTCTTGGCACCCGAAAATCCTGGATGCACGGGCGGGGCTCGCGGAATGACCTAAGGAGCGGCGAGCCCCTTCCGAACCCAAAGCGGTCCTTACTTCAGCGTCTTGACTGCACTTTGCCTCTTCTCCCTCCGAGGGCCACCACCTGACCTCGCGCCTCGCGCGAAGCGCGAAGCCCTGGTCGCCTCCGCGCTCTCGAACCGCCCCGCCGGCCCGGACCTCAGCAAGCGCGAGGCGCCGCCGCCTCCCCTCCCCAGCTGGGTGGCCCAGCCACAGCACAACGGAGCTAAGAATGGGACAAGACCAGATCGGGATGTCTGAGGACACGCCCTGAGGATCGTCGACAGGGCGCGGCGACGGCCTGGAGCGATTTATCCCATCCTGGGACATTCTGGCACAAGCTGCCTATAGTCGCGGGGTTGTCCAATGCGCCGAGCTGGCCGATTCGAGTTTCGTCTGTGGGGGGGGGGCACCCTAAATGGTGCGTGGTGGGGATTACCGAAGCCGCGCGCTGCCTCCTCCTCCTCCTCCTCCTCCTCCTCCTCCTCCTCCTCCTCCTCCTCCTCCTCTTCCTCCTCCTGCTCCTCCTCCTCCTCCTCCTCCTCCTCCTCCTCCTCCTCCTCTTCCTCCTCCGTCCCCTCCTCTTCCTCCTCCTCCTCCTCCTCCTCCTCCTCTCCTCCTCCTCCTCTCCTTTTTCGTCTTAGCATTCGCATCATTAGTCTTATGATTATTAGTATGTTTGTTCGCATGATTATTCATATTATTATTCGTATGAGCATTACTTGTGCCATTGCTACTCCTAGTATTATCATCACCCTTAGTGGTATTTCTTAGTATGGTTATTATTCGTATGATGATTCATATACTTAGTATTAAATATATTAGTAATATTGATATTAGCTTAGTATGTTGCTTAGTAGCCTTACTAGCATGTTCATTATTATTCGTATGTTTCGTCTTATGATTGCTCTTCCCATTCTTAGTATCATTAGGATCTCTAGTATGATTGGTATTATGATTATCCTTATTACGAGCAGTCATAGTGTTCTTATTATTCGTAGTATTCCTATTATTCGTAGTAATCTTCCGATTATTAGTATTAGTGGCTTACTTCTTCTTATCCGGAATATTCGTAGTATGATTAGTATCGCCATTCTATGTTCTATCATTACTGCTAGTTAGTAGCCATACTATTCGTTTTACGACTAATAGTCTTATTCTTCATATCATCAGTCGTAAGATTAGTCTTCGCACTTTCTGAATATTGCTAGTATTATGCGTATTCATATTCTTAGTAATATTATTATCCTCCTTACTCTTGTTATGATTATTCTCCCTCCTCCTCCTCATCGTCCTCCTCCTCCGTCTCCTCCTCCCTCGTCCTCGTCCTCTTCCTCCTCCTCCTCCGCCTCCTCCTCCTCCTCCACCTCCCCCTCTTCTTATTACTACTATTAGTATTAGTACTATTATTATGAATAGTAATAATAATAATATAATGTATATATACACTGTTATCAATATAGTATTGATATGCTTAGTATTATTAGTATTATTGATTTTATCATTCGTATCCTTATCATTATTATTCCTATTCTTATTCTTAGTATTCGTCTTCTTGTTCGTCTTGTTCCTCTTCGTATTATTATTATTCGTCTTCTCAATAGTATTCTTGGTATGTTTATTATTATTAGTACCCTTCTTAGTAGTATTGTGTTTCTTGTTCTTCTTCTTAGTAATAGTCTTATCGCTATGATTAGTATTATGTTTTGTGCGGTGTTGCTCCATTTTTTCTTCTGGTAATTCTTAGTATGGTTATTATTATGCTTCTTATGATTGTTCGCATTAGTATTATTATTGTTCTTGAAATTCTTCTTCTTATTAGAATTACTATTGCTCGCTTTATTATTATTGGTATCCTTCTTCTTCTCCTGATCATTATTATTCTCAATATGATTATTACTCGTACTAAGATTGGTAGCAATAGTTTGACTCTTCTTCCACGAGTCTTCTTAATATTATACGTAGTATTCGTTTGCGCATGCTTCTTATTACTGTTATTCTTCGTATTATTACTATTATCATCATCATCCATACTTTTACATACTTTTATTATTATTCGTATCCCTCCTCATCCTCCTCCTCCTCCTCCTCCTCCTCCTCCTCCGTCTCCTCCTCGTCGTCCTCCTCCTCCTCCCCACTCCTCTTCCTCCTCCTCCGCTTCCTCCTCCTCCTCGTCCTTGTCCTCCTCCCCCTCCTCCTCCTCGTTTTCCTCCTCCTCCTCCTCCTCCTCCTCCTCCTCCTCCTCCTCCTCCTCCTCTTCTTCTTAGTCTTCTGATTAGTATTAATATTATTGCTAGACTTCATATTATTATTTGTGTGGTTCTTCTGCGTTTTTTAAATAGTCTTTTATGTTTATTATTATAAGCGTTATTAGTAGTAATAGAATTATCAGTAATACTATTATTACTAGTACTATTATTATTAGTATTAGTATTAGTGTGATTGATATGATAAGTATTATTGTTATTGGTAATAGTATTACTGGTATTATTATTAATATTAGTGGTATTATTATTATTATTAGTATTATGATTCTTCTTTGTATTGTTCTTATTATTCGTATTATTAATCGTGTTATTATTCTTCTTCGTATTAGTAAGATTCCTATTATTCCTCTTATTCTATGTGTGACTATTCTTGTTATCAAATGTTTATCAGTATTCGCATTCCGACTCTCATTCGTAATACTATTACCTATGGTATTGTGCTTCTTCCTACTAGTCTTATTACTATTGGTAAACGCATTCGTATTATGATTGCTCTTCCTATTCGTACCAGTCTTACCATTAATAGTAGTACGCTCGTCCTTGTTACTATCAATATTAGTATTAGTAGTATTAGTCGTATTAGCGTTATAGTATTACTCCTAGTATGATTAATATTATTCAGACTCTTAATATGTTCTTCTTTCTAGTATGATCCGAATTGTTCGTATTATTACTCTTAGCATTCGGGATATTATGTTTCGTATGGTTGCCCATGACTTGTAATAGTGTGTCTATTATTCGTATGCTTCTGAATAGTATTAGTATTCATATTATTAGTCGTAACGTTCCTATTCGAAATATTAGTCTTACGGTTATTACTCTTATTATTGCTATCCTTTTTCTCCTTATGTTTGTTGTTATTATTCCTCCTCTTCCTCCTCTCCCTCCTCCTCCTCCTCTTCCTCCTCCTCCTCCTCCTTTTCCTCCTCCGTCGCCTCCGCTTCCTCCTCCTCCGCCTCCACCTCCTCCTCCTCCGTTTCCGCCTCCTCCGCCTCCTCCTCCTCTTCCTGCTCCTCCTGCTCCTCCTCCTCCTCCTCCTCTCCCTCCTCCTCCTCATTCTCCTCCTCCTATATCCTATTCCTCCTCCCCCTCCTTTTTCTCCTCCTCCTCCTCCTCTTCCCCCTCTTCCCCGTCGTCTTCCTCATCATCCTCCTGCCCGGGGCAACCTCGGAATCAAGTCCTGATTCCTCCCTATATGAATAACCCCCCCCCCCTTGGTGCCCCCCGAAACGTGTCGAAAGGGCGGGCGGGGCGTTTCGCCTGAGGCGTCCTCACCACCAACGATATTTAAGCTGAAAATTTGTAAGAGGTTCACGAATGGAGGGCGGGCCGCTTTCAAACTGCGGCTCTCGCCTGTGCTCCACGCACACTTGTTCATAACAATTTGCACAAGTTTCACAGATAGAGGGCGGCCCAATTTCAACATTTGGTTTTCGCATGAGCGCCGCGCACACTCGTTTTAGTGTTTGGTGTTTGGCACGACGTCGCACAAGCAGGGCGCAACAAGTATGTTGACCTGGTCCAACGGTTCAAGATGTTCATACGGTTCTCTCCAACGAAACAGTTCCCGCATTGAAATGAGCCTTTTGTGGGAGACTACGAAGAGGGGGCTTGGAGAAAGGATGGATCGCAATATCGTTGGTGACCCTTGATGTTACAGTGGTCATCGTCCTCCTCTTCATCCTCCTCCCTGATCCACCCTCCTCCATCCTTTCTCCTGAAAAATAACTCCTCCCTGTCGCACCCCCAGGCGCGTTGGTAGGGCGGGCTGGACGTTTCGCCTGAGATGTTTTCAGCATTTGTGATCCTGCACCTTGGAATTTGCAGCAGCTTCACGGATAGAGGGCGGGTCGTTTTCAGAATGTGGTTCTCCCCTCAGCGCCGCACGCATTCGTCTTTAAAGTTAAAAATTGGGGCAGCTTCACGGACGTAGGGCGGGTCATCTTCAAAATGTGGTTCTCGCCTTTGCGCCGCGCACATTCGTCTCGAAAGTTTGCAGCAGCTTCAAAAATGGAAGGCGGTTCCTTTTTCAAATTGTGGCTCTCGCCGTAGCGCCGGATAGCTTCGTCTTAAACGTTTGCTACAGCCAAGGATTCGTATGGCTGGAGTCCAAACGATTCAAGATAGTCACGACGCAACTGTCACGTTGATTCGCGGCGCTGGAGTCCACACATGGTTGTCTGGCACGTTTTAAGACTGCCAAGACGCAACAAACACATTGATACGCGGCGCTGAGGCCCCAGGAATCACGTGCTGGCACGAATTCAGTTTCGCAGACGGTCGTTTTCTAATGGGCCGCTTCCTGCCATGAAAGCAATCTCTTGTGGGGACCTACGAAGAGGGAACTTGGAGGGAGGGTTTTTTTGTGCAGCGTCGTTGATGCGTCGCGGGTTTACACTGGTCTTCCTCCTCCGCCTCCTCCTCCTCCTGGGCCTCCGATGCATTTGAAAAGCATGCCAGGGAAATCTCGATGGGGAAACTCGGGAGGCCTGGGCGTCGTCGTCGCCGTCGCCGTCGCCGACGTCATCATCGTCGTCGTCGGCGGCGTCGTTGTCGTCGTCGTCGCTCTAGCGCCGCGAACGACTGAGCCCCCCCAGCGAGGGCGGAATCGTGGAGGGAACGCGCAGACTCATGTCCGAGAGGGCGCCCTCGGCGACGCGGGGCGCGTTCGGATGCATGCCTGTTGTCTGGCAGGGTATACAAACGCACGCACGCACGCGCGCATTCGCCCCATGAGCGGGCAACGACACACAAAGATGTTGATTGTGGCGATGATCATGATGACGATGATGACGGTTATGACGATGACGCCCGAATTTTAAAATGGTTCGGTTGTACGTTGCGCGCACGGGATCACAGACGCGCAAGGCGCGCGCACTCGCGTCCGAGGCACGCCATCACGATTGAAACGCGCCAGGAAGCAAAACAGCTGAGCTTCAATGCCCGATTGTTGGGCCTCGCGCCGAAGGCGCGCCCGCGGGCCTGCGCTTGCGAAACGTCCATTTGGAGGGCCCGCCACCCCTTGCACCTCCGACCCTCAGACGGCGCGGCCCCCGCTCCGACGGGTCGCACGGGGCCCCGCTGATGCCCACCCCATTGAGGCTGGCCGTTTCGCCCCGCGGAGAGAGCGGGCTGCCCTTCTGCGGAGTCCCGCCGCGAGAGCGCGGCCACCTGGGACAGCTGGGCCCAAGTCTGCGGACGGCGGCAGCGGAGGGCGCGGCCCCCCTGGGCCTGCGCTGCCATCGCCGTCGCCCTGGCGTCGGCGCCGCTTGCCGCCTCTGCCCAGCGGCATCAGTAGTGGCCGCGCGCCCTTCGGAGCGCTATGGATCGGCGGCACCGCCGCGGGGAGCCCCGAGCGCCCAGCCTCGCCCCGCACGCCCCCCCTGCGAGTTGGCCCTCTGCAGTCACACCGCGGGTGGCCCTGCGCGAAGCAGATCGAGCGGACGCGAAGGAAGCAGCATTTCGGGTCACGCCTGGCCATCTTGGAATTGTACCTGAAGCAGAGATTCTCGCGGCCCTGCGTCTCCGAGGCGGGCCCCCCGTCCTTAGCGGATGCCCCGGCCGCCTCCAGTACCGCGTCCTTGCGCGCCTGCTTCGGCGGGCTGAGCCCCGCTGCCGCGGCTGCTGCCGCGGCTGCTGAGCGGCGGGCCGCCAGGCTGGCGAGGGCCAGCGGGGTCGTGAAGTGCCGCTCCTGGACCACCGAATCGCCGATCGCCCTCCGAAGCGCTGCGTGGAACGGCACGCGCTCTAGCTGCGCCAGCTGTCAGGTCTTCTTGCGCACACGACGCTCGCACAGCAGCACCTGGTCCCGAGGCAAGCGGGCGGTCAGGTCGCCCTGCGCGCTCCTAGCCACGAGTTTCCAGACGTGCCCCCCAGCATGTAGTCCAAGTACGCCTGGCTCTGCTGTGGGTTCCTTCCCTGCGAGGCGGGTCCCCACCATAGCACGGGCCGTCGGCAGCGGCGGGGCCTCGGCCGTACCCGCGGTCGCTCGTCAATCGGAGGCACGCTGCGGTTTCCTCCAGCATGGCCCGCTCGGGGCAACTGTGGCACGCCCTCAAGCGTTTCAGAATGGGTTCGTCAGCAATTGCCCGATCCACGGGCTACCTCAGCGGCTGCCTCCCCTCCTCCACGATGGGGTCCGCGGCCTCCGCCACCTGCACGAGGGTCCCCTCGAACTCCGCCTGCAGCGCAAGGCGCGGGCCGAGGGGGTCGAGCTGGGGCATCAGTTTGCTGACCCGCCGCCGCGCGGCGTCGATGGTCACGGCCCAAAGGCCAGCATCTGCGCCCAACCGTCCCTCTAAATCGACCGAGCATTGAAGCCCAAATGGCCACAGACATCGGGCAAAATGAGAGGATACACATTCATGTTGGCAGTCGGGGGCGCCCGCTTTGTTGTCGACGGCTCTACGCCAGAGTGTCCAGGCCGTCATCTTGTTCAGGCAAGCCAGGGTCCCCGCATCCCGGTATTGATCCTGGATCCTCAATGGCGGGCCGCACGTTCCCCGAGCGGGCACGCACAAGGCGCACGTGTTCAGGAGGCAACTGCCCACACCCAGCTTCTTCAATCAGGGACAAGTCCGCCAGCCCGTTGTCGTCACGGCACCCACAGACAGGCTTTCAGACTACAGCCCTCGTGCTGTAAGGAACGCCAAAGAGTGAACGAGGGAGCTGCTCGGGCCACGGCGAGCCCCGGCCACGAACGGGCTTCCCGACATGGAACGAGGGAGCGGCCCGAAAACCAAGAGCCCCTCCTGGCCCCGAAGTGGCCCTGATGTCAGCGTCGTGGCTGCAAGACGAGGAAGCCCTGGGCACGAGGCCCTTTCCGGGAAGGCCACGCGGTCCGACGTGGTCGAGCTCGCCGTGGTCGAACTCGCCGTGGTCGAGGAGGTCGCGGTGGTCGAGACGGTCGTCGCCGTGGCCGAGGACGTCGCGGTGGAAGTGGACGCGATGTTCATCCCCCCGCCACACTCGCAGCAAGCCTCGACCTGCGTCCTTCGGGCGGACAGGGAGAAGGGAGGGAGGAGGGGGGAGGGAAGAGGAGTGAGGAGGGAAGGAGGGAGGAGGGAAGGGGGGAGGAGGGAGAAGGGAAGTGGAGGCGAAGGAGGACAAGGAGCGAGAAGCGAGGAGGGTGGGGGAGGAGGGAGGAGGGAGGGGAAAGGAAGCAGGAAGCGGGAACGGTAGGAGGGAGGAGGAGGGTGAAAGGGAGGCGAAAGGGAGGAGGAGGAGGAGGAGGCGGAGGAGGATTAGGACGAGGAGGAGGATTGGACTGGATTGGCCTCGCCGCAGAAAACTGCAAAACCAAGACAGGCAGGCAAGGCAAACAACATGCGGCCTGGACACGACACGAAGCAGCCTCCAGGCCAACACGCGCACCCCTGGCGGATCACCTTCTGCAACCCTCCCGACACTAAAAAACGTGGTGGGAAGACTGGAGGACGAGAGGGGGGAGGAGGAGGAGGAGGAGGAGGAGGAGGAGGAGGAGGAGGAGGAGGAGGAGGAGGAGGAGGAGGAGGAGGAGGAGGAGGAGGAGGAGCAGCAGGGGCAGGAGGAGGAGGAGGAGGAGGAGGAGGAGGAGGAGGAGGGGGTGAGGAGGAGGAAGGAGGAGGAGGAGGAGGAGGAGGAAGAGGAGGAAGAAGGAGGAGGAGGGGAGGAGGAGGAGGAGGAGAGGAGGAGGAGGAAGGAGGAGCGAGGAGGAGGAGGAGGGAGGAGGAGGAGGAGGAGGAGGAGGAGGAGGAAGGAGGCGGGAGGAGGAGGAGGAGGAGGAGGAGGAGTGGGAGGAGAAGAAGGAGGCGAGAGGAGGAGGAGGAGGAGGAAGGAGGAGGAGGAGGCGGAGGAGGAGGAGAAGGATGAGGAGGAGGTAGGAGGAGAAGAGGAGGAGGAGGAGGAGGAGGAGGAGGTAGGAGGGAGGAGGAGGAGAGGAGGAGGAGGAGAGGAGGAGGAGGAGGAGGAGGAGGAGGAGGAGGAGGAGGAGGAGGGGAAGGAGTGGGGAGGAGGAAGGAGGAGAGGAGGAGGAGGGAGGAGGAGGAGGAGGAGGAGGAGGAGGAAGGAGGAGGAGGAGGAGGGAGGAGGAGGGGGAGGAGGGAGGAGCCCTGCAGCGCGCCCACACCCCATCCAAAAACTGGTCGGGCGCGCTGCGATTGGTGGACGCCCGCGCCAGCATTGGAAGGGAGGGCAGCGGAGGGGCAGCCCGCGGCGCTTCGGATGGCCTCGCGACCCCGACACTCGACGCTCGACCCATCCTGGAGAAGGAGGAGGAGGAGGAGGAGGAGGAGGAGGGCGAGAGCGGAGGGCGGAGGAGGAGGAGGAGGAGGAGGATGGCGGAGGAGGAGGAGAAGGAGGAGGAGGAGGAGGAGGAGGAGAAGGTAGGGGAGGGAGGAGGAGGAGGAGGAGGAAGGAGGGGGAGGAGGAGGAAGAGAGGAGGAGGAGGAGGAGAGGAGGGAGGAGGAGAGGAGGAGGAGGAGGAGGAGGAGGAGGAGGAGGAGGAGGAGGAGGAGGAGGAGGGAGGAGGAGGAGGAGGAGGAGGAGGGGAGAGGAGGAGAGAGTAGGAGGAGGAGGAGGAGGAGGAGGAGGAGGAGGAGAGCAGGAGGAGGAGGAGGAGGAGGAGGGGAGGAGGAGGAGGAGGAGGAGGAGGGAGGAGGAGGCGGAGGAGGGAGGAGGAGGAGGAGGAGGAGGAGGAGGAGGAGGAGGAGGCGGAGGGGGAGGAGGCAGAAGCCCTGCAGCGCGCCCACACCCCACCCAAAAACTGGTCGGGCGCGCTGCGATTGGCGGACGCCCGCGCCAGCATTGGAAGGGAGGGCAGCGGAGGGGCAGCCCGCGGCGCTTCGGGTGGCCTCGCGACCCCGACACTCGACGCTCGACCCATCCTGGAGAAGAAGGAGGAGGAGGAGGAGGAGGAGGAGGAGGAGGAGGAGGAGCGGGAGGAGGAGGAGGAGGCGGAGGAGGAGCCCTGCAGCGGAACCCACACCCCATCCAAAAACTGGTCTGGCGCGCTGCGGTTGGCGGACGCCCGCGCCAACACTGGAAGGGAGGGCAGGGGAGGGGCAGCCCGCGGCGCTCCGGGTGGCCTCGCGACCCCGACACTCGATGCTCGACCCATCCTGGACAGTCGACTCTCCATCCTCGAGCTTCGACCCCCGATGCTCAATATCCGCGCGATGGGGCCACACCTCGACCCCTCCATGCTCGATCCCTCTATGCTCGATCCTCGGCCCTCGATCCACTCTGGTCGGTGCCTGCACGTCGGACGGAGAGAGTAGACAAAAACATGCGGTAGGAAGGCGGATAAAGTAGATTGGTTTCAGGCCCACTCAGAGAATTGCAAAGCACAGCAAAAGCACGTCGAGTCTTGAAGCAGGAAGGCGCCTGAAGTACACATAGGGATGTGGGCATCGAAAAACATCGCCAGCCCCCTTGTGGAGCCACCAGGCTGCAGGCCGAAGTGTGCTGCGCCCTGCACCAGTTGCAGTTTCAAGTCTGCAATGTTACAGTCCTGCTTTCTGACTCCTACTGTAAACTGGTGAAGTCAGCGCGAGGGGGGGGGGGGGGGGGGGCACGCCCCGGGTACCGCGCCCAGATCACGTGTTCTGAATTCACGGGGGGCGTGGGACACATAAACATGATCGACCCACGAACCCGGAAAGGAATATAGAAATGTGGAATCTAGATAATTAAATCATGGCAGCGTTTTCACAGACACCTGATTGGGCGACGGGCAAATGCAATGCTGAATGTACCGATATTGATGCACCGTGCCGAGGGCTGTGCTGTGCTGCGCCGTGCTGCTGAATTGAGATGTGCCATGCCGCGAGTGTGCTGTATAGCGTTGTGGATCGAGTCCTCCTTTGCATCCGAGTCCTGACCGAACTGATCTGGATCTTGAGCTCGAGCTGCCTGAGCACTTAGTAGCTGCCCCAAAGCTAGTTGACAGGGGGCATGCCAGGAGGACGCGCCGCGGAACGTCCCAAGGGACGCGCCAGGATACGTGCCTGGGGACATGCCATGGGGACGCACCGCGGGCCGTGCCAAGGGGGCGAGCTACGGAACGTGCCAGTGGACGTGCCACGGGACGTGCCAGGGGAGGCGCCGCGCGACGCGCCAGGGGGACTCGCCACGGGACGCGCCACGGAACGTGCCAGGTTGCAATGCTGAATGTATCGGTCTTGATGTACCGTGCCAAGGGCTGTGCTGTGCTGCGCTGTGCTGCTGAATTGAGATGTGCCATGCCGCGAGTGTGCTGTATAGTAGCGTTGTGGATCGAGTCCTCTTTTGCATCCGAGTCCTGACCGAACTGATCTGGATCTTAAGCTCGAGCTGCCTGAGCACATAGTAGCTGCCCCAAAGCTAATTGACAGGGGGGCATGCCAGGAGGACGCGCCGCGGAACGTCCCAAGGGACGCGCCAGGGAACGTGCCAGGGGACGTGCCATCGAGACGCACGGCGGGACGTACCAAGGGGACCCGCTACGGAACGTGCCAGTGGACGTGCCATGGGACGTGCCAGGGGACGCGCCGCGCGATTATGCCAGGGCCACGTTTCTTACTGAAGTACGGTGTGTTCAGGCTCCCAGAGCCACCTGGGCATCCTGGGGCGCCCAGGCCGCTCGAGTTCTGCAAAACAAGCGTTTCGCTCGAGACATCCTCGAAGCGTCTCGCTCGAGACATCCTCAAGATCTGGGTACGTGAAAACAAGCATTTCACCTGAGACATCCTCTGAATTCTGGCCCCCAGGAGAAGAACAGTCTATAAAACAAAACTAGCGCTTCGCTCGAGACACCCTCAACAAATTCTGAGCAACAAGCGTTTCGCCCAGGACATCCTCAAAATAATTCCGCCGGCCCTCTTCCCGTCGACCCCAGGGGAGAACAGGTAAAAGAGAACCCTGGCCGGACCCCTTCTGGGAAAATACATGAGATTCGCGCCCCCGAGGCCGTAATCCTTCTTGAAAATTACTCGATACTCGCAACCTCGAAGCCATAAACCTTCATAAATTACACAAGTCTTACGTCCCCGAGACAACAAACCGTTTGTAAAGTATGCAATAGTCGCGTCCCCGAGGCCATAAACCCCTGCACATGTCGCTATATTCGCATTGCCGAGGCCAAGAGTGCTCCAAGGCGCATGAAGACGGTTCCAAGACGACCCAACAGGGCCCCCCGAGAGAGCCCCAAGAGGCCAAAACGGTAGGTTTTACGAGGGTGGTTGAAGGAGTTTGGCCTGCTCGCATTTTCGGTTTTCCGACGCTCCAAGACGGCTCCAGAAAGCTTCCAAGACCTCCCCGAGACAGCCCAAGAGGCCTCCAAGGGGGCCCCAAGACGGCCCAAGAGAGCTCCAAGATGGCCCAACCAAGAAGCGCTCAAGACGGCCCAAGAGGGCCCCAAGACGGCCCCAAGAGGGGCCCAAGTAGGGGACCACGAACCGAAAATTCTAGAATTGTGCCCCGAGAATCCCTCAGGAGGCCCCAGAAGGCCGACAAGAGGCCCAAGAGGCTCCCACGACGGCCCCAAGAGGGCCCCAAGACGGCCCAAGAGGCCTCCAAGACGCCCACGATGGCCTCCAAGACGGCCCCGAAGCGCCCCAAGAGGGCCCCAAGTCGGCCCAGAAAGGCCCCCTAAGACGGCTCCCGACGGCGTCAGACGTGCCAGGAACCCACCAAGATGGCCGAAGTTGGCTCGAAGCTGGCCCAAGACGGCCCAAGAGGCCCCCAAGAGGGCCTCCAGGAAGGCCAAAAACCTTGATTCTCCTAAGGTGTTTGACGGATTTTGACATTTGCTTCTTTTCGGCCCTCCGACGGCCCGAGAGGGCCCAAGAGCCCCCGAAGGTCGCCGAAAGATCGCCCAGGAGGCATCCAAGATGGCCCCAGAACGGCCCAAGAGGCCCCCAAGACGGCCCCGAGAGGCCCCCAAGACGGCACAGGAGGCCTTTAAGACGCCCAAGATGGCCTCCAAGACGGCCCTGGAGCATTCCAAGAGGCCCCAAGTCGGCCCATAGAGGCCC